GTCTCCTCCTAGCACGGCATCCTTTTTCCTCTGCTGACCGGAACTCTGGTTCCCCCACCATAGAGTCTCCTCCTAGCACAGCATCCTTTTTCCTCTGCTGACCAGAAGTCCGGTTCCCCCACCATAGAGTCTCCTCCTAGCATAGCATCCTTTTTTCTCTGCTGACCAGAAGTCCAGTTCCCCCACCATAGAGTCTCTTAGCACAGCATCCTTTTTCCTCTGCTGACCAGAAGTCCAGTTCCCCCACCATAGAGTCTCTTAGCACAGCATCCTTTTTCCTCTGCTGACCAGAAGTCCGGTTCCTCCACCATAGAGTCTCCTCCTAGTGCGGCGTCCTTTTCCCTCTACCTGTCCTAACCTATCAATTGTGGAAGCGACTGGCGACAGGGAGCCGCAGCAGAGAGATGGAAGAGCCACAGGTTGCCGACCTCTGACCTAAACCGACACGTGAAATTCAACTTTCCCACGTGATACCTGCAGAGAACTTCATTGGGTTCTCGACATCGCCTCATTGGCAGCCGAGTTTAACGTATCGCTCTGGTTGGGGCGTCTCCTGCTGTAGACTTTGAAAGTCCGTCGTTGCCAACGCAGCTGGCAGGGCCACCGCTTGTTGGCCAAGGTGTAGTAATACAAGACAGGGTTCAGGCAGCAGTTGAAGCTAACCAGGGCTAAGGTGACCCAGCGGAGCTGGTAGATGGCGGTGGCCGTGGGGCAGTTCCGGATGAAGCCGACGCGCATCAGGAGGTGGAGGAGGTGGGTGAGGTGGAAGGGGAGGAAGCAGGAGACGCAGATGAAGAGGATGAGGTAGATGGTATTCAGCGCCTTCCTTTTCAAGGCGCTCTCTGAGGTGTGGGAAATTCGCTGGGCGATCAGAGGGTAGCTGATCAAGATCACCACGAAGGGGACGAGGAACCCGAAGATCAGCACAAAAATGTTGTAGGGCAGCATGCGCCCCTTCCAGGAAGCTTCCCCAAAGCTCTCGAAGCATACCTGGGTGTCGCTGATGTTGGCGCCCAGAGGGCCTCCCAGGATCAGAGAGCCGCCGGCCGTCAGCCCCACCGCCCAGAGGACGATAGCGATCAGAGTGTAGTGGCCGCTCTTGATCCGCACGTACGCCAAGGGGTGCAAGACGGCTACGTACCGGTCGACGCAGATGGCGGTGAAGAAGGCCACGCTGAGGTAAAGGTTGAGGAAGTACATGCAGCCCGTCACGCGGCAGGCCACGTCCCCGAAGACCCAGTGGTTGCGGTGGAGGTGGTAGTGGATCTAGAGCCAAGGTGGCGCAGTGGTTAATGCAGCACTGCAGGCTACTGCTAGATCAGCAGGTCAGCGGTTCAAATCTCACCGGCTCAGGGTTGACTCA